CGTTCAGCACACACAGTTCCGCACAGCTGTGCCGTTTGCCTCTTTATTCGCGCGTCGCCCCGCGCCGCTACTGCCGGGGCCCCGGCTTGAAGCACACGGGGACTTCGATGACGATTTTGCCAATGTTGTTGTTGTCCTCCATGGCCCTGTGCGCCTCCGCGATCGCGTGCAGCGGGTAAACGCTGTCCACCAGGGGCCGGAGGCGCTGGGAAGTCTCCCCGGAGAAATAGGGCAATACGTCCTCTGTGAAGGCTCTCACCAGACGCTCCTTGTACTGGGGAAAAAAGAGCATTCTGAAGGTTATTCCCAGTCACTCCCTTCACTGAATGAATTTGCTCTAAGCACAGCATACAAAGCTGTACACGACCCTCAAGGAGACACTCTGACATCTGCACTGAGATGGAGATAAAAACACCTGATGTGTCTAAATTACGAGCAAGAAGAAAACTTTTAGATTTACTGCATTTTAAGTGAATTAAATTCTCCAGAACAAGAGGTGTAAGCTCAATGCAGAACCGTTTCAATTCAAACCGATAAAGTTTGTGAGAATATTATGTCTCAAACTATGGACAGAAGCTACCCTAGGGCTCTGCACTGCTGTCTTTTACCTTCATATCTGAGAATTTTCCACATAAAGTGACTTTTCCTTGGTAGTTGGGCATCCAAATGGCCTTAGATTTTACTCTGAGAAACGACCTAATAGAGGCTTTTCTTTTTGCCTCCTCAGAATTGATCAAGTTGCCTGATCACTTCAGTTTTGTTTCTTTTCAGGCCAGACCTTTTAGTTTTGTACTTGTGAAGTGTGTTAAGTTCTGTCTGCCATTCCTTGGATCCAGGGAGAAATTTGATGAAAAGAGAAAAGCAACTTTATACCTTAATTTTGCAATATTTTCCATAGTGGAGCAACAGTTCAAGGTGGGGCTTTTTTGGCAAGAATATGTTTAATGCTGTTTTTAAAAGAAAGCTCTCAAAACTATCATTGATTTTAAGACCAAACTGCATAGTAGCCACTACTTGCCTCCTTGTCCCGTGACCGTAATAGACTTGTGTGGATGCTGGCTCTTTTGGAGAGCAGCCTTGCCAGCAAATCCCCATGGACTTCACCTCCACTCAGCAGTCCATAAATAATCCACCGGCCATCAGTACTCAGACAGTTGAGATTCTTCTCCCAGTATGAGCTACCAACACAATCTAGAATAATATCTACTCCAGAACCTCAGGTAGAAACAGAAGAGATTTCAGCAATGTAGTTGAGCTGCATTAAATGTGGGATAATCTCAGGCAAAATAAAACCTTGTTATTTATAGATGCAGAACTGACTCTCCAATTCTTATTTAAATCTTTCTACTGAAATTAGGAATTGACATAATGATTTGTGAGGAATTACAGAACTGGATAAAAAAAAAGAATGATCATAGGTACTCAGAAACAGACTCAGGCATAAACCATCCCAAATGCTTAGAAAAGCCGCATTTTTCTAACAGCACAAGAACCAAACATGGTGAGGCACTGGCACAGGATGCCCAGAGAAACTGTGACTGCCCCATGCCTGGAAGTGTACAAGACCAGGCTGGATGGGGCTTTGAGCAACTGAGTGGGAAGTGTCCCTGCCCATGGCAGGGGGTTGAAACTCGATGATCTTTAAGGTCCCTTCCAACCCAAACCATTCTGTGATTCTGTGATGATTCAAACACAACAAAGTGTGAGGATGTGGTCCCACAGTTCCTTGTGGAGGCAACAATAGCACAGGGACAATATTTATGCCCCAAATGAACATAGACAAAGAGAATCCATGCAGAAAACAGAACAATTAAACTAAGCAAAGGCACATTCTGGGCTCAACAGGATGTCAGGTTTTGTTAACAGGCTCACTGCTTCTTCATGGACTACGGTCACAGCTGAAACTGAGTATATGTGCACACTGGGAGGTGCACATTCCTCCCCAGCTTCCACAGAGAGGTTCTTACCTTGGGTGAACTCCAAGACCTTTTCACTAAAATCTTCGTTCTTGTAGTTGAATCCTGCAGCTGCTCCAGCATTTGCTGTTGCTTTCAGTTTCTCTTGAGTTCCTGCTGTCACGATGGGAATAGCTTTTGCCAGTCTCACCAGCTGAATGGCTGCCATGCCAACTCCGCTAGCTCCAGCATGGATCAACACTTTCTCGCCCTCCTGTACTTTACCTGAAGGAGGATGTAAGGGAAATAAGTACCCTTTTGGCATCACCTTTGGATTAAAACATGAACAACATGGAAAACACTGAAGAGGAAGCTGAAAGACCTGCCCTTGAGTAGGCTTTGTTTACATCTTCATATCCTTCATAAAAGAAACAAATCCACAACTAACAGAGCTTGCAGTGTATTGACAGGACTCCATTTTACCAGCTTCAGTGGGGTGACTTTATCTTGGCCCTGTCCAGTTCTGGGCATCCATGACCAAGATGCTTTAGTGAGTGCAATCACAACCCTTTCATTCCACCAGTAGAAAACACACTTGGAGGATGCTGATATTGAGAAATCAGGTACTCAGCAATAGAGAAATACCAGCAGCGCTGGGAAACATTATAGACCAGTTCTACCAATCATTTTACCATCTACTGGTTGCCCTAAACACATTAATTTGTGTTCCACTGATTGCTACTGAAGGTGAGGCACCAAGTAGTCTCCCACTGCTTCCCAGGAAGCAACACTGATCAAAGTCAAGTCTGCAGGGATGTTATGTGTTTGGAACTTCTGATCTTTATTGGAGCTTTTAGATGCTACTGCTGAAGAGGGTAGAAGAAAGACATTTCTGACCTGAGGAAATCCCTGGCAAGTGCTAGTGTTAGTGCCTTGGCAGCATATTTTCAAAATGAAGACTGTGAGCTTCTGTCTGTTTTAAATCAGCTCCGAGGGGACTTTACCTACAATTAATATTTCTGTGAAACAAGGTGCAAGGAGATGTTTCCCACTGTAGATCCACAGGCAATCAGAGAGAAAGTTCATGATACAGGCGTGCATGCAGTGAAGTCAAATCCTTAGAAGTAGGATGACTTTTCTGCTGTTTGGAGAACATGGAAGTTATTTCAGGATTTAGGCTTAATGCAAGGTGTCCCTGTCTATGGCAGGGGGATTGGAACTAGGTGATCTTTAAGGTCCCTTCCAACCCAAACCATTCAGTGATTCAAACTGAGAAAGAAAACTAACCATCTTTCCTTATCCTTGCTTGTAAATATGCAATCAGCAGGGCAAGTTGTGGCTGAGGAGATATGGTCAGGATTTCAGGATTTGTGTCTGGCACAGCAGATTTTGACCCATGGGAATGAAGTGATGGAGAAAAGGTTCTTTGAAGGCAAATGGCATTCAGATAGAGGCAACAAAGAGAGGATTTCATAAGAGAAAAAAAGACAAGCTGTTTTGGTGAGATAGATGGGCAAATACGCCTCTCACCTACAAAATGCAGCAGCTGAAATGCTGTTAACCAGGCTTCAGGAATGGCTGCAGCCTGGATAAAAGTCATATCTTTGGGAATTGGCATCAGGCAGCCTTCGGGTACCGTAACGAATTGTGCCTGGCCTCCTCCAGAGAGCAGAGCCATCACTGCATCACCAATCTTCCAGCGGCCCGTGCAGCCAGGGCCGAGCTCAGCCACAGTCCCAGCTGCTTCTAAGCCTAAAATATCGCTCGCTCCTTTGGGGGGAGGGTACTTCCCTCTCCTCTAAAATAAAAGAAAAGCCACACATCAATGAGTGCAACAACCTGCAATATTTCATTCTCATGTCTCCAACCTAAATTCCTATTTATTTAATCCTGATTTTGCACTGTGCAAATGTTCCAGTAACTTGAGGATCTTCTATCCTCTGGAAACACTTCTTGTTTCCTAAGTATGTTTTATTCTTAAAACTCTGTGTGTCAATTCAATTTGTTACAAGTCCCCTTTGTCCAGGCCAATCCCTGCTGGGGGAGGTTTTACAGTCTCCAGTTGCAGAGCATGACTTGCAGCTCAAACTTCATGATTTGAATGTGGTTTTCCCCTCACTGAAACTGAGTGGAACATTTCCTGTTCATCTCAAATGCTCAGAGAAGGGTCTAAACATCTAGAAAGACCAGAGCTTTGGTTTTACGTTTTGTTGAAAGGCAGCTGACTTTCCACACCAACCCAGCACTGCAGTGACCCAGATAAAAGCATTTATCTGCTGAATAAACAGGCTTCTCTCAGCCCTATGAGCTCTCCCATCCAAATACTCACCAGGTTCAATCTCTTTTAACTCTTCAGATCTGTCAAGTCTTCAGTTATGGGCTTGAAAAATCAATGCTGTTTTCAGGTGCATAAATCTGCTTAACATGCACATACCTGGAGTAAATCAGCCCTATTCAGAGCACTGGCAGAGACCTTCACAAGAACTTCTCCTTCTCCTGGATGTGGTTTTATCACTCCTTTCATACAGAGATTTTCTGGGCCTCCTGGGCAATCAAAATAGGCTGCAAACATTTTCTCTGAAAAAAACCCCAAACAACTAAATAAAAAATCTGGCATCAATGCAGGCATGCTTATGTGCAGTGGGAAAATCTGTGTTTTGAAATAACAAATGGCTTTTAAAAATCCTATTTATTTCCCTTGCCTCAGCAGGTGATTCCCATGTGCCTGATTTCCTCTGGTAGAGGGTCCCAGTGCTGCAGGAGTCTTTCAGGTAACTCCTCAGACACTGTTCCTGGGGTGCCTTTTGGCACCAGCATCTGTTGAGATGGGCTGAGATGTCAAGCCTCCTCCTGCCTGGCTAAACAAATCTGGAGCAGTCTTCCCTCCGTGCCTGGAGTGCTGGGTGGAAAGAGATGAGGGGAAGAGGGAATCACAACAGGAGCAACTATGTTCCTTCACCAGAGCAGGTACTATACTGAATGCCAGGGCCTCTTCAAGTAGCCAGCACTGTGTGATGGACCACCCTGCCCTCTGTAAAAGTCACTTGTATGATGATAGTTGCACAGGAGAAGCAAAGTGCATACCTAAATTATTTGTGGAAATGTGGAACGTGAAACACCTTGAAACCCCAGGCACGTCCGTCCCCACAGGGTGGTGTTCTATGGCTATTTTACAGTGAACAGACACAATTATTCATATAAAATACAATTTAAAAGCTTTTCTTTCTGAGGCTAGTTGGCTATTCTTTGTTTTCAGCTGAGCCACTTAATCCAGTCCCACAAAATCTGTATAAACAAAAAAGTTATCAACCTTATCCCATCAGGGAAGCTCATTACCCCCTAACGAATGCTTCTGCTCTCTTGTGTCTGAATTTAGTCAATTAAAAATAAGATGTGAAAGAAGCTTTTGTCCCTCTTCCATCAGAGTTTGATACTCTGAATTTTTATAATTTGTTGTCTTTGTTGCTAGAAGCAGGCCCAGAAAATTTTTTTTTTTAAAGTACAGTGAGAGTCCAAGTATATCCTACTTTACTCTAAAATGCACAGAAAACAGCAGGAACTGAAACCCAAGTTTCCATCAAAATGCAACAACTTCAAACTGTCAGATCTGCCAGCAATGGCCCAAAACAACAATTTTAAGAAGTTGTGTTTTTCCCAAGCTCACCTTTTTCCTGTACAGAAAGACACAATCTCTGCACCAGAACAGACCCAGCCTGTCCCCAGGATCAGAGTCCGATCCCAGTTCCTCCTCTCCCAGCTCTGCCCTCGCAGTCGGCTACTCCCCTGCAAGGGGTGGAACGGGGCGAGGCTGTGTTTTGCTTTGGAGGGCCAGAAATGAGCAGGGTCAGAAATATTAGCACAGCTCACCATTATTTCTACTCACAGACCTGGATTATTCCACGGATTGAAACGGAAATCTACTTTCCCGTTTGGCATTGCGGCAGAGATCTGCCACCCCCCGGCACGCTGGCAGGTTTGGCCTGATGCCTGTGCTGTGCTGATGGGCTGGATCTGTGCGTCATGGTGTGTGGCTGCTCCAGCACAGCCCTCAGCAGCTGCTTTAGTTTCTGATTTCCGAGTGTCTCAGATTAGATTTACTGCAGTGGCACTGAGGGCACGGAGCTGTGACAGCCCTTACTCCGTACACCCACTGGGAGGCTGCACTGGGCTCTGTCCCTGGGAGACAGCAGTGTTTCACTCACCGGTTCAGGTCGGTCAGCCCTGTGTGTTTCTAGCTGATGGTTTAGAATCGTAGAATCATTAAGGCTGTAAAAGTCTAATGACATCTCCTTAAGTTTTGCTGTTTCACCCAGAAGAAGGGTAAGATCATGCCTTTCTCTGTGTCCTGGTCACCAGCTCTTGAGTGTTTGTGTTGTCAGGGAGTAAAACTGACATTCAGAGTATTTAAAATGATAGACCATATGTGTCTCTATGTGGATTTCCTATGGATTTTCTTTTTCCTATTATTAATGAGATTTTTGGGTTCAGGCTTTTAAATTTTTCTTTGACACTAAAGATGTTTAGAATCAAGTATATCTAAAGATTCTTTTGTCTCACGTGACTCAAAGAGCTGATAATGTATTTGTTTCTGCAGATGAAAAGATTTTGAAGCCTGTTGTTCTTGAGATGCTCTACTTTGATGTTCTCTAGTACACAGAGTCTGATTCAATCCCAGTAGTGACATTGTCCCTTCTCCCTTGTCCTCACAGAACTTTGCAATCCACTGGAGTTTAAAATAATTTTTTATAGCAGTCAGTGACAATGCAAACTGATGTGTTACAAATATAATTTATTTGTGATACTCAGAGCTGTACTGGACAGTCTCAAAATGTGTTACTGTAACAGTTTCTTTCGTCCCTTGCGTCTGTGGTGCCCTGCATTGCTGCAATGCCATTAGAGAACTTTGCTTAGTGAGATTCATAATTTTCTTATCTGGAAACAGACTAAAAGACAACATTAGAAAGATAAAGCAGATCATCTTAAACCAAATACTGGCGTCACTTTCAATTCAGTTAAGAAACTTAAATGACAGATGCATAGGGTTGTCCCTTTATGAGCAGTGAGCAGCGCTTAAGTGTTCTTGAAAACCAGAAGGAAATGCTGCAGCTGGAATGTTGTAAAGCAGCAGTTTCTTGCTTAAATTGGATGTTTCAAACTCCTATACTTAATTTTTTCATGAGCAGTCCTTCTGAGGTTGATGAAGTTCAAGTTTTCTGCTGATGCGGCTACTTTTCTCTTTAAAGTAGTCATGATACCTTTTGGATCTGCTCCAGCTCTGTGTGTAGTCCTGCAGAAAAATACTAGGATAGAAGTAGACTGAAGTTAGATTTATTAAGTCTCATTCCCCAGGGCTCAGCATTGGGGCCAGCTCTGTTTGATATCTTTGTTGATGAGGGGATAGAGTGCACGCTCAGTCAGTTTGCAGACAACAGCAAGCTAGGTGGGAGTGTAGATCTGCTGCAGGGCAGGATGGCTCTGCAGGGGGATCTGGACAGGCTGCATTGATGGACCAAGACCAGTTGTATGAGGTTCAACAGGGCCAAGCACCAGGTTCTGCACTTGAGTCACAACAACCCCATGGAATAGTACAGGCTGGGGGCAGAGTGGCTGGAAAGCTGCTCATGGAAAAGAACTTGAGGGTGTTGGTTGACAGCAGCTGACAGCAAGCAGTGTGCCCAGGTGGCCAAGAAGGCCAATCCCATCCTGCCTGGCCTGTTATCAACAATAGTGTGGCCAGCAGGACTAGGAAAATGATTCTCCCCTGTACTCTGCACTGGTGAGGCTGCACCTCAAATCCCGTGTTCACTTTTGGGCCCCTCATGACAAGAAAGACATTGAGGTGCTGGAGCGTGTCCAGGGAAGGGCAGCAGAGATGGTGAAGTGTCTGGAGCACAAGTCAGATGAGGAGCAGCTGAGGGAGCTGTGGGTGGGGGGTCAGCCTGGCGGAAAGGAGACTTGGCAGGACCTTTTTTCTCCCTACAACTGCCTCAGAGCAGGTCCCAGCAAGGTGAGGGTTGTCCTCCCTCCCGAGTAATGCATTCGCTCCAAGCTGTGCGCGCTCCTGATTGGCTCGCTCGACACGTGCCGCTCTTCAGAGTTGCCCTGCTGGTAGCACAGTAGCATGCAGGTGTGTCTAGCAAGGAGTTTTATTCTCAGGTTTGATCCTCACAGATTGGTTTGGGTTGGAAGGGGCCTAAAAGTTTATCTCATTCCAACCCGTCTGCCATGGGCAGGGACATCTTCCGCTAGACCAGGTTGCTCCAAGCCCCATCCAGCCTGGCCTGGAACACTTCCAGGGACGTGGCACAATGGAACAAGTGACCTAATACAGAGCCTACTCATGGGATTTGGCATGTGCAGACCACGACTGCTTAGACTAACAACAAATCTTGCTTTAACTACTCAGATTTTGGAAATCTTCTACTATATTTCTGGCCAAGCCTGTGATTAAACCTTTAGTTTTAAGACCTGTGAAGCAGCTGCTGTTTCATATCAGTGGGCCCTGCCTTTGCCAGCTGTGGAGAGTTGGCATCTCCTAGCCAGAAGCCCAAAGTGGAAAAAGAAAGGGTTAAGGTTCAGTGGCAGCTTCAGTTATGAAGATTGGAGGGAAGTCTGCAGCTAAAGTATTTACCACTTGTGGGTTCCTGAGGGCAGATTGCTACAGCAGCAGATTTTCTGTGTTTACTCTGTTTGGCCTCACCTGAGGTCCCAGTTTTCTGTGATGAGATCTAACACATCCTTTGCCTCGTGCTCAGTCTTCCTTTGTAAGATGGATGAGGTCTTAATACTTGTTACTGAAAATAGGAGGCTAATGATTGAGGGTTTTGTTTGTTTTACTTGTTTTGTAACCTTAGAAACTATTAGAATATGTATTTTCATCATCTGAAGCTTGTCCAGGGATTTACGGCATCCCTGTCTCAGAAGAACAAAACTGCTTGAAGTGGAAGTAAATCTGCTGACAATGGCATGAGGCAGGAGCCTGTGGCACCTTGGCAGGCAGGTAGGATGCATTGCTCATAGGAAGGTGTGTTGACTTGTCTGATACCACATCTGTATCACCTCAGGTGTTTGGATATTCTTCTGTCCTTGTTTGCCTGTTTGGTTTCCATCAGAATTGGATCAGTGCTGATCAGGGGACACCTGCTGGTATTACCTGTGTAGGCAGTACAGTGCACAGTTTCCTTTAACTGGTCATTGCAAGATGAAGAATAAACTGTGGGAATCCTTCCCCTGCTCATCAGAGACCACAATGTTGGATATGCTTTCTTGGAATTCAGTAGACTTGGGGTGTCTGAAAATAATGGAGATTGTTTTCGGGGCAGGAAACTTTTCACAGGGAACACCAGGCTCCATGGCAGGCACAGCTCTGCAGAGGCCATGGGCACCCATGGACAAAGCAGTCTTCATTTCCAGATGAAGAGCAGCAGGACACCTGCTTCCGAATCGTGTGTCCTAATTGTAATCCAGTGTTACTCTGTGTCTTTTGTCTCCTCTGGACAGAGAAGGCAGGAAATCCCATTAGAGGAAGTGCCTGTTGGCCTGGCACACTGGTAAGGCCAGTCTGTATTCCTGGGGTTGGAAGCTGTCTTACAGGGGCTGAAAAAATTCCATAGAGAATTGGGATGTTGTGACCTGTTCCACTGTGAATCCTTTAATTTTCTTTGTGTCTGATGAAAGGATAGGAATCTTGCAGAGTTACGCAGGAAGGAAGGAAAGTCCTTGGTACCATGTGCATTACAATGACTTTTTTCCTTGCTTTGGTTTAACTTGGATTACATGGCAGAAGTCAGGAATTTGAGGAAAGGAGTTTTCAGAACTTGGCTGGGTGAGGCCCTGAACTACCCTGTCTGTGAGGTTTGCTGTTCCTCAAGCTGGCACTGGGACCAAGGGACCTCCCGAGGTCCCTCACAGTGTGTGCTTCCCTGTGGTTTATTATTCCTTCAGTCAAACAAGGATGCAGGAATATCCAGGCAGATATGTCTATCAGAGCATAAAAGTAGGAAATATGAAATGAAACAAAGATGTAGATTACAGACTTCACTTTGAACTGATGGTAAGAGATCTGAGTCTGCAATCTTGAGAGGTCAGCTGGGAATCAGATATGATCACTGAAGTGATGGGTTGGACAGAGTAAATTCCTTGCAGATTCAGAGTCTTTGCAGATTCTATTAACTAGATATTACAAAAAAGAATTAAAAATATTTTGTTTTCATAGCTGAAAGATGTGGTTGAAGAGCAGAGATCAGTATACCTGCAGATAGAGGCTTTTCTTGTGGTCCACTCTTCACCTAAGTAATGCTGTGAACACATAATTTCCTGGAAGCAGTGTGTCTCCAGTGAATCTGAAATAAATAAGAGATTGAAATGGAGGTCCCTGTAAAGGTGTTTTGCCTCTGTGGCTCTACTGTCTGTTATAAATCAATCCAGATATACTGGTGCATGTCAGGAGAGGAGATGGAATTTTCTGGCTGGAGCTCAGAGTTAGTGCTTCAGCATAAGCTTTGTCTGGTAGAACTAACTTTAAAAACCACTAAAGTGTAGCCATCCCTGGGAGGATGTGGCAGCTGTTTGAAAGTGACTTTTTATGTGATTGAAAGAGGCACAAAGGAAAGAACTAATAGTCAGGAGATGGAATTTGATAACTCTGTGATGTTTTCTAAGCTGACAGGTGAAGAAGGGAATAATTTGTGAATCACTTTGTTCTTGGAAACAAAATGTACTATCCATTGTTGGTGGGGATGAGGACAGACAGTCTCATCAGAGGCAGTATCTGAGTGTAGACCTGATTCTTCATCTCTGTTTTACGTACCGTGACAGGAAAATGCTGCTGGTAGCAGCAGTTAGAATTCCTTTAGAGATTTGTTTCATTGCTTGGTAGGAGATGTAAGAAGACTCAGTTTTTTGCTGTTTACACAACAGTTTTATGTTTATGAACGTTGTAATGTTTCTCCCAGACTAGTCAAACCATGTATAGTGTGAATAGCTCAGAGACTGCCCAGCTACAAAGATTTCCACCTGTGATAGAACCTGATCAGCAAAGGCCTTGGCAGGTGAGTGACTCCCAGCATCCTTGAGCTGTAGATTCTCCCGTGAGGACCAAAGTTCAGGACATAGGAAACCTGTATCTGTATCTGGCATCACAGGATATCTGTGTGTAACTGGGCTCTGGTATTGGAACTGACTGCCTAATCCCACTGAAGTTCTGGACAGTGTCCTGGTCTGTCTGTCTGCCTGTCTGGGCTGCCAGACTGCTGTCCCTGGCATGTGCCTGAACTCATTTGTGAGTCCTGAGTAGGAGTTTTGTGCTTCAGTCTGTCCCTCCAGGGCACACTTGGAAATGGGTATTGCAGTGTGTATTAGTTCCTACCATTCCATCCCAGTTTGTACCTTGATTGTGGATCCTGCATGAGAACCTGATCTTTGTAAAGCAGGTTGGCTTTTAATGCATACCTTTTTCTTTCTTTGCATTTATCCAGAGGTTCTCCTCAGCTCCAGCAAAGAGTGGTACAGCGAGTACTTTTGACCACAGCATACATTTTGGGAAGAGGATTATTGCCAAAGATGGGCTAACAGAGAAGGGCTTCTGTCCTGGCAAGGTATGAGTGGAGGAATGAAATGGAAGATGTGAAGTGGGGAATGAAAAATTATTTTAAAGTTTTGTAAAATTTGAGATATGTTTGTCATAGATAAGGGGAACAAAGAACTCTGGAAATAGCAATCCAATGGGTTTTATCGAGCCCTTGCATCTTTGTGAGGGAGCTTCATTGAATTCCTTGCAGTGTGGTGTGTAGAAAAGTTTCACATAAAACCTTAAACAAACTTGTAACTAGTTAGAATAATGAATAGAAAGGGACTTCCAGGCTGGAAGGGACCTTGAAAGATCATTTGGTCGAACCTTTCTTGGGAAAGAGACACTAGACAAAGTTATCTTAGCATCCTGTCCAATTGCATCTTGAAGACCTCCAGTGATGGGCACCCCAGCATGTCCCTGGGAGGTTGTTCCAGTGAACAGTTGATCCCAATGTAAAAAAACTTTCATTTATTGAGATGAAACCTTTGCCAGTGCAACTTGTACCTCTTGCCCCTTGTCTTCTCCCTGTGGCTCCTGGGGAAGAGAGAGCCTCTGTCCCCTTCGTAGCTGCCCTGTGATGAGGCTTCCTCTGAGCCTGCTCTTCTCCAGGGAGGAGAGACTTAATTCCTTCAGTCAAAGGAGACCTAACTCCTTCGGCTCTAAAGGATTCTTCAGATGTGTATGGTCCTGAAGAAAAACCTTTCACCTGTTCACCAGTGTGCTGGGTCCTTTCTGCTGGTGGTTCTCAGGTGCAGAGATGTCTGTCTCCCTGCTCCTCTTACAGTGCTGGTTTTAGAATGGTTCTGCCATTATGTGAAGTAGATTTGTCAGATATAATACAACATACCAGTAATTTCAAACAGTAGGATGAATATCCTCTTAAAACATGCCACAAATTTAGATTTCCTCTTTCTTGTTTTTTGTGGGTTTTCTTTTAATACTACTTGTCTCCTCCTTGCTTGCTCTGGTGTCCTCATCTCAGGATATCTGTAGTGGAACTCCACTCACCTGCTGGAGTGTGGAGCTGGTCAGCAGGGTCCAGGCAGACATGACTGGAAACTACACTGTTTATTGGAATTAAAAATCAATATTAAACACAGGGAGGAGCATCTGTACATCAAATGCATTCCTTGAGTGTTGTGCTGCCAGTGCCATTGTAGACTTGTGCAGAAATGGAGTGGCTGTAGCTCAGTTTTAAATGGCACGAGAAGGTCACAGCAGGGAGGACTTTGAATTCATCTGGGGAGACCCTGGGAGGAGGCAGCAGGTCAAACAGGTGAAATGTCAATGTTTCATCCCTGCCTCTGGCTTAGACCTAAGTAAAACCAGGTCACTTGAGAGAGATATGGGATATCCCTTGGGTCAGTTGGGGTCAGCTGTCCCAGCTGTGTTCCTTCCCAGCTCATTGTGCCCCCCCAGCCTCCTCACTGCTGGGATGAGAAGCTGAGAAGTCCTTGGCCTAAGGTAAACACTACTTAGCATCAACTAAACCATCAGTGTGTTATCAACATTACTCTCATCCTAAATTCAAACTATAGCACTATAGCAGCTACTAGGAGAAAAATTGATTCTATCCCAGCCAAAACCTGGACAACTTGTTGCTTCTAAAAGCTGCTGATGGACTCATGAAGACAAAGTCTCTCTGGTTAACCCACAGAGTTGGTGCTGCCCGATCACAGGGAAGATATCTGTGTGTGTGCTCTCATCTTCCCTGCAAGGGCTCTATCCCAAAATGACAATGGATTTGGTCTGTATTGCTTGTGCTTCTTGGCCAGAGTGTAGGAGTTGCAATTAATGAGCCTCATGTTTTGGCACACATGAGAAACAGTGGCAAGGAGCAAGTGGTGTGTGGTTGTGGTGAGAAGCATCCAGGGAGGTGTATGGTCTGAATGTGTACATTCCTGTTCTTCCAACACTTTTCTCTTGCTACTTAACCCAACTGTTTAGAGCAAGTCTTGCAAAGATTTGCCAGCTGGGTTATGGTATAATGTCCCTTTAATCACACCACCAGTAATTATTTGGGATTCAAAAGTAAATCTAACTCCAACTCTATTTTACTTCATGTGTTTTTTTGATGTTCTGTTAGGTAACACCTGATCAAAGCTGAGCCATCATTGCTTCTGTTAGGTGCATCTTGGACAGAGAAAATAATTTTGTGAGGGTAGGAAGTGGTAGCTTTTTTCTCATTTGCAGTGTGCTTTCCTGCAGGTCAGTATTTTTAGTTTCATCAGTGATTCAGGAGAAAAATGCCAGTTGTCTGCATTATTGAAAAACTAATTTAGAAGTACAAGTTTTTGACCTCTTCAGTCTCTTTGGGATAGGACTGAAACAGTAACACTAAATGGGAGTCATAGGTGACTTACCTGCCTGTTTGCAGCTGATATTTGTTCTGTGGGTGTGGTTAGAAGGGCTGTGAGCAGAGGGCAGGAGGGCTGATCTGATCTAGCAGATTGTCAGTGCAACAGGGAGAAGGTCCTTCTCTTGCTGCCTGACTTGCAGACTGGTGCTTATCAGATTGTCATGCTGAAGTGAGTTCAGCTCACTAACTTGGTGGGAGAAAGTCTTGCACCACAATAAAAAAAAGTTAGAGACTGCATGCCAGAGCTTGTACTGAGGGGAGTTTGGGAATACGTGTTGGGAAGTGAAGAGAGGGAGGTAGCAGAAAGGATTGGAAACAGGACTCTTGGAGTAGTGACCACTCACATCAGCTAAACTGCATTCTTTCACCTGTGGAATCTTTGTGGTTGGCCAGTAGTTTCTATGGGGTTTATTTTTCCTTTTTTACTTAGGAGGCGGACAGGTATTTGAAGCATAGTGATTTTTTAAATCTGAGAAAGAAGGAGATCCTGTACAAGAAATGGCTTGAGGATGTTTCAGAGCCAGTGCTGCAGAAAATTGAGGACAAAATGAACAGCCAGTCAATTGAGGAAATACGGAAAAGGAAACAATGACAACTCTCTCAGTATTTAAACTACTGTAAAAAGAAGGTATGAAGGAGAAATACATTTCTGTCCTGGAGAGGGTTGCATACAAAGGGTTGTGGACAAGATCAGGGGTTAGCTGTTATTTGCTGTCTAGTGAGTAACTTGGAGTTTAGATACACCTTACCTGTAAATTTTCCCAGGGTCTTCTGTAATGGTGGCATATGATGTTACAGCTGTTTGCTTAAGTTCACGCTCAGACATGAACAGCAGCATTGTTTGGTGCAGTGAGCATGTGCTGGGATCTGAATGTGACAAGGCACCATATTGAGGTGTGTTTCCATCTGAGTCAGACTATTTAGAGGGAAAACCTCGAGCTCTACCAGCTTAAACCAGGGCTGACTCTGAGCAGGGAGTGCATTGCGCCCTCATGTCTCAGGAGTTCAGTTACAGCAGTACTGCAGTATTTTGGCAGAGCACAAGTGAAACAATTTTGTGGCCTTGGATGCTACTGAGAAAGCTTTATAAATGGAAAAAAGTGGGAACAGGGAGATAAAAACAGTTTTCTTAATTCTGCTTGCAGGTAAATAGACCCAGTTCATGGATTCTGTAGTTCCTTGTGTTTCAGTACCCAGAAATTGCAGTCACTGTAGGAAATACTTATTGGTTTTCTTCATTTTGCTCTCAATTTCACACCAGTGTTGAGTATCAACTTCCTGCACCTCAGGAATGGATATATAGAGCAGTAAGAGCAGTTATGTAATCTGCTGCAAAAGGAATAATACTTTATGGAGAGCAGCTTTTGTTGTCAGTGGAAACCACTGCACAGTGGAGTCATGAGACTGTAAACAAGCTTCCCATCCAGAAATGAAAATGTCATGGGAGCTGAGTTGTTTCAGTGAGAGCAAATGATCTCTTTTTCAAGGGCCTGATGTGACAGACCTGTACATTTAAACTGCACGGAATGAAAAAGAGCTGAACTGGTCCTACTGCCAAAATCCTGGGATTTAGGATATGTTGGGTGTAATGCACATATCTGAGTCTGCTTCAGTCCATCTTGCAAGCTTCTGTGTCAGGTCAGGACTTTGCTGGGTATCCTTCCCAAGCAGTGGCTGGTGTACTGGCATTTGTCCTTCTCCATGAGCAAGTACAGCACCAGTGATCAGCCTCCACCTTTCCTCCTTGCTCTGTGGTGTCAGCTGTTGTTGGCATGTCTGCAGGGCTGAAGCCCTTCAAAGTTATAGGACAATTCATTTGCATAAGTTTGCATTAACCTTGGCAGCATATGATAAATTTTGCAGAACTTCAGACACTTGTGTGGATTGGTTAATACACTTAGTCTTGGTTCTGCATTTTTCCCTCCTCCCTTCTTTTAGTCCATTTTCTCTTGTGCTCTTCCCTGCTATTAGACTTCTCCTTGTCCTCTTCACCAGATTGCCTCACTCTCCTGTGTCTCTGTCACCAGTCTGTTTCTGCTTTCCATATATATATTCTTCCTCTAATCTCTCCTCTCACTCTCTTTCAAATCAACACTTTTATTCCATTCCCAAGTGTCTCACTGTTTTGCTCCTCTTTCTTCTGCCAGAGGGCAGAAGACTTCTGCCAGTGCTGTGTCTCACTCTCCTTGTTGTTTCTTACGATTCCTCCAAATTCTCCACTGTCCTTTGCTTTCCAAAGCTGCTTTCTCCCCTTTCCCTCCATTCTCCTCCTCCTCTCTAACACTATCTCCCCACTGTCCTTCCAGGTTCTTCCATCTCAGTTTTTCTGTCAGCTCACTCTTCTGCTTCCTTTTTCACACCATCTGACCCTTCCACCTTTGCCTCCTTTCCTTGACCTCCTCTTCTTCCAGTGACCTGCTTGTGTGTAGGTTTGGGGTTTTTTTTGCTTCAAATCTGCCTCCTCTTCACTCCCATTCTTACCTCCTCACCTCAAGTCCTGGGGCCATGGACTGCCGATGCCTGATGAGATGGCTGGTCACAGTGTGAGGGCAGTGTGACAGTACAGCCTGCAAGGAGAGGGAAGCTTCCCTGGCCTGGGTTACTGCTGTGTTAGCCACAACTTGGCTTCTGGTAGTCCAGGCTATTGTAGGCGTTTTGTGCTGAAGTGCTGCAGAGAAAGAGACCCTCCTGACTAATTTTTAAGAGCTGTTACTCTGCTTTCTGCCAAGGGGTGTGTGAGGGATAATGCATTAACTGCAAGAAGGGATCAAATATGGGAATGCTGCACAGCACCTCTGTGATCCACTGAGGTCTCAGCACACCTCGTAATGGGTGATATGTGATAATAAACCAAGGGGTGGCACTAAAACTCTGCAAATTGAGCAATGTTAGTGCGTGAAGCTTTCCATGGACAGAAACAGGAGATGGTGAGTGTGGCTGCTGCTTGCTGTCTGGGGAATTGCCAGATCCTGGGGAGCAGAGGCCCCTGCAGAGGCAGCAGTGTTCATGCTCAGCAGTAGCAAAGCCCCGTGGAGCTGCCCAGGTGCTTGCTGCATTTTTGGGAACACCACAGGCCCTTGGGGCATGGCTCACTCCCATGTGAGCACCTTCAGCACAGTGACCTCTTAAATCCCACTTTTTTTCAGTTTGGACTTGTCTTGCAGTGCTCCTGAACTGTTCAGGTTAAGTGTGTTTTTTCCAAGTCTTGAAATTACATCCATATATTGCCAAAAAGAACTGGGATCTAGGAGGCCATGGGCTGAATGCTCCCCTCCTTCCTGGGACCCCGGGAAAATCACCTGCACAAGATGCAAAACTTAACTTGCAAGGTTTTGGAGGAATGAAATATTCTATTTGCTTGTCATAGGGAACTTGAACTGCAGAATGTGATGGTTGTTGCAGGCAGAGTTGTTGATGAGATGGAGCTGTGGCCTGGACCATGAGGTGTGGTTCAAGTCTTTATTCCTGTGTGTAGATGGAAAAAAGCTGGCTCATGACCCAGTCTTGGAGCTTAGGGGGCTGTGGCTGGTGAGAGCTCACTCACTCCTTTCTTTTTTTATTTTCCTTTTAGTATCTGTTTCCTTCTCTGTCAGAACATTTTCCTGTGAACAGAATTTCCATTGTCTGGTTATGGTTGGCGCCTAAGCCTGTAATTATTTCTGGATGCTTCATGAAATCATTTGTCACATACTTAGGCCTATGATAAATTAAAATTGATGGGGGAACTTTTCTGTTACACTTCAGTCATCTTTCTGAGGTGCAGTATGTGAAAACTTGGGAGTCCTTATCTCTACCTCTGGTGCTCTGTTCAGGCCGTGCCTGGGTGCATCACACCCAGGCTGGCTGCTCTCACTGTTGTATCACCAGTAGCTTGAGACCTGACCCAGCACATGCTTCGCCCCCAGGGCTATGTGGTTTTGGAAGATTATGACCCATCAAAGTACAATCCATTCTTCCTGAAGACATGCACAGACTGCTGGAAGGTGTGAGGAGGTTTGGAGTCCCCTTTGACCAGCAGGAAGTTAACAGTTAGGAGGCAGAACCTGTTACTGCAGGGGGAGTATGTTCTGGTTTTATTCACTGGGTTCCAGCTCTTCCTGCATTTAATCCCAGGAGTGTCTGAACATGGTTTTCACTGGGAATGTGGTTTGGATCCACACTAAGCTCAGATTTGGAGGCACAGTAGGCAATGGCAGGGAGGAGTTTCCTCATTTCAAATCCATTGTGGCAGCATGGGGAGCTGCCTGTTTAGGGAGGGTCAGAGAGTTCCCAGGCAAGCTGGGTGTGTGCTCCGTAGAAGGAAACAATATGCCAGCTCAGCGGTCTTTACAGATCACGCAAAGGCACCAAAGACTTGGGTACCCAACACAAGAGTTAAATAGGACTTGGACACAAATCTGTGAAGTGCAGGTCTTCAGATCCCTTCTGGATGCTGCAGCCTCTCAGCAGCTGTGGGCACTGAGCTGATCCTTCATTGCAGTGTGCCACACAGGGTTCATCCAGATCAGCTGCCACCAGGAGATCAGATCTCCTGTCTGTGGTCTGACTCTGTGGCAGAGTTATCAAATGCCTTATGACCTGCCTGAGGAGCTGAGATGCTGAGTTTCCATGGCCACTCAAGTCGGTACCTCATGGATTTATTCTTTTAAAATGAGGCTGATGCTCCTCCCTGGTAACCAACAGTACCTTAACATTCCCTTCTGACTTTGGTCTCTTGAGACTCTCTAACAAAGGGCTTGTGTTGGTGCAAATAAGCATGAAATAACTGTTTCTGTCACAGGTTTCAGTACCAACTTTATAGGATCCTCTGTTAAAAGACACCGAAAGAAAGTTTATTGGGGCAGGCATTATCAAGCAGTGTGAGACAGGTATTTTAACCAGCTGGGTTCCATAGTGCAGGGGACAGCCTTGCTTTTGCCAGTGGATGCTCACACAAAGCACTTGTTGCTTTCCCTGCCAGGAAGACCATGCTCTTCCAGGGAGCTGGATGAACGCTGCAAGGCAGAGCTGCCGCTGCTGCCTTTGGGCCGGCAGCATGTGGGTGCACTCGAGTGGCTGAAGATCCCACATGCCTACATGGCCAGTGAGGTGCACAAAACAAGGAGGTGAGAGTGGCTCAGTGTGGGAAAGAGCTGGTGCAGGCAGATGTGAGGGGCTGCAGCAGCCTTCGTGTCACATGGACTGGCAACAGTTTTTTCCTTCAGTTTAAAGGCTGAAATTCCTCAACCACCACAATGAGATTGAGAGCCGACGATGTCACCTGTCCTCCAGCTCAGCACAGCAGCAAGCACAGCCCTCAGAAGGCACCCTGTGCAAAATATGCTACATCTGCTGCCAAAGCAAATGATAAGAGGCCTGGTCTTCTGGCAAACTGAAGTAAACTCACTGGCTGAAATATGTGGCTCTGAAATGCTGTTACTCAGCAGCCAAAGAAATGTCTGAGCTGCTGCTCCTCTTCTTGCTAGCTCCAGTTCACACTCCAGAGGCCAAACCTGCTCTTTTAGATTTAACTTAGGCTTAGCTCAACAATGACAGTGCTGCTGTTCTCTCCTGGAGACAGTGTACAAGCAGTAGATCAAACTTTAACATATGTATTAGGTGTTCTGAGAAGGCAGAAATAGAGAGTGCTCTTGTACAAAATGTCTGTTGCTTTTCAGAGTCAGTGCTGAGCAGCACCTGCTGTCAGTGCCCTACAAACATGTCTCTCTCCTGTTCCAGTGCAGTCCCAGCTCCCTGCTGGAGTGGTTTCACAGCAGCTCTGGTGTCAAAGCCTGGAAACGGAATTTTCTTTATTCTCCCAATTCCCACTGTACAGACACAATCTCTCAAGAATTGCCAAGATTGAGTTTTATTTAGGATTAGAAATATTGAACCACAGAAAACTGTTAAAAGTAACAGAGGTTGACTCAGCCCTGTAACAGGAGGGTGCACAGATGGTGACTGGGGGGGAAACTGCCAGACTTCAGGAGGAATTGCTGCACCCATGGAAAACAAGGGCACAGGCTGCTCAGAACTGCATGCTGTGCTTCTGCAACAAAGCAGCTTAAGGAGGCAGTAAAACGGGTACAATGTATCAAACCTTTTATAAACAAACTTTTTTAACCCCCTATACAATAAAATATACTTTTTTAAAATCACTATTCATCAATAAACATCTGTAGACAAATTACATTAATAAACTTATATTTTACTCTCTATATACATGTTGGCAATGTCAAAGCTTCAAGATTCACATGGAGGTCTGCAAGACCAAGGAAATGTACACAAATAACTTATATTTAGGAAAAAAACCAAAGCTGAAGAGTATTTTGCCACATTGTTGTGGGTCACAGTATTTTAAATATTTTTTCTAGTTATTCTTCACAACCACATTGTCTCAGCAGAGAATGATGAAACAAACTGAAGCAGAAAGAAAAATCAAGTAGCAGTTACTGATTCCAGTGCAGAACTAAGTCAAGTAAAGAACTACACTTGGTTCTTAAAGAATATACAATATATTATTGGAGACTTCTCCAGTGCTAAGGCTTCTTCAGCATTTACTCTTTAAAACACTATCATCCTGAGATGGGAATATTCCAGTGGATATCACTTTTAGGATTTCAAATGGAATGATTCTAGTGCTGAGCTTAAACCATTCCTCAGTCTGTCTGTCAGACTAAGTGGTAAAATATACACACAGCTTGGTGCCACATTTCTACTTAACACTTTTTATGGCCCTGAAAATGGAAACATTGGCATCCAAACCCAAGATATTCCAACATAAGAAAAAGGCACTGAGCTATAGTACTGTATATACAGTAACATTTGTGTTTGCATAGATCAACAACAACTTGGAACACTGCAAGGAACTAAGCACAACCAGCAACTAAGAGGAAATACAGAAGCAGCAGAACTCTTGCTTAATAAGCAGCGTGCGGCAAGGAACCTTTAACCAGAAAATCTGCAGGCTGTCAGCTTCAGTTGTCCTTCATAAATTAAAACCAAAGCGTTCTCAGAGCGTTTTCTGATCAAAGAGCTGCAGGTCAAAGCGCACCCAGACTTCTCCTGTTGGAACTTCATGCAGCAGTAAGTGTTTAGTTGTGGGGCCTTTGCTCTCTTGTTCTGTTCTGATTTTTGCTACTGGAACTTCAGTACGACCCAAAAAATCTGTTGGGCAAGCAAATAAGAAATTTCATTAGGCAAAGACAGCTTAGAAAATCTCAAAGAGTCAGGTGCATAGTATGTATTCAGTACCAGAGCACTGATCCCAGGCTTCCTGTTTGTCTGGCCCTCAGCCCTGTGTAAATCAGCCAACAGTGAGAAGACAAAAATACTATGGCATTAAGATGGAGAACATGCCTTTATGTCACTTTGATCTAAGGGCTTAAAAAATGCTTAGAAAATATCCTTTCCAAAACACAATTTCAAGTGTTTGCCAGTTTTAGAGCTGGCAGGTCAGTTAGGTGATGGAACCTGTTTACAAATCAGCTGAGGTACTACTAAGACTATTAAAAAATCAAGTATTTTGGTTCAGCCAACTTTTAATTAGGCTTATATATCATTATTTTCACAAGAACAAGGACCTCAAACAATTACTGCCACTGGTAGGTTTGCAGTCCTATGCAGAGATCGTATGTGCTCGTGGCTGTTTCATATGTAACATCTTTGTGTGTGTGAGCATTAAAAGACTCACCATGGACTGAAAAAACCACAGACTCAGCTGTCCAACTGGGAGAAGCAGTCAAAGTCAGGTTAGTTCATAGGAGAAAAGACTGAGCTACACACATGGCAACTCAGGTCAAGACAGTTCCCTGCAAATCTGGATGTGGCACTTGGGGATATGGCTTAGGTGATTATGGTGGTGCTAGGCTGATGGTCAGACTAGATGATCTTGAAGGTTTCTTCTAACGTTGATGATTCTGTGATTCTGTGTGTCAGAGCCCATAAAAAGCACTTAACCTTTGAAGAGTACTAGAAGCATCTGACTGCCAAAAATGTGTTCAGTTTCCAAGCAAAACAAGAAAGCTTAACAAGCTGTTGCTGTGCAGATATAACCTAGCACCTTATTTTTGGGCACCTATAGTGAGAGAGTAGCACTGCCTTCAACTACTCAGTCTACCCGGTCTGACAAAAAAATAATCCTGTGTGATACAAAAGCCAAATAGGGATCAAATGTCACTGCCTGGAGCTGCTGGCTCTGGAAGGCTATTGATCCTACTGAGCCATGAGGCATTGTTTTCACACACTTCTCAGGCAGCAATCTTGGAATGGTTGCTGAGGAACTGTGTACCCCAACTCAGAAAAAAGCATTCTTTTCCTAAACCAAATGTTGATACTTGCCATCGGGTGAGAACTGATCCCTGTCAAACATGGTGATGCACAGGACATCCTGATACAGATCCTTGATGAAGAACTGGCAGTTGAAGTTCCACTTGGGGTTCAGGGTGTCCTGCAGGGTCCTGGTAGTGTAGCTCTGTGAGCCCATGCTGATCTCACAGTATGGGTTGCTCTTCCCTAAACACAGAACAGGGAGTGAAACCTCTCTGCAGCACAGAGACCTCCCTCCCTGTCTGGAGTCTGCCTGGACACACATCAGTGCTGCTGTCCAGATGTGGATCAGGCAATCCCCATATCCCAGAGCAGCACAGAGCTGGTTCTTCACTCGGTCCTCTGAAGCTAAATAACGGCAAATTCCTTCTGAAGCTGTAGCTGAAACCACAGTGTATCCCAGGCCACCAAACTGCTTTCAGCAATCCTTTCCAAATGTTACAGGAGTGATTTGAGACTGTTTCCCTCACTCACCATTGGGCTTACAGGCCTTTAGTTCTGTTGCTTCAATCACGTGCACCATCAGGCGTCCTATTCCTGAGCTTTTCTGTGAGCGAGCTGGGAACAAAGAGGTCAGAAATAAACTATAACAACTGGCAATAGTTCTGAAGAGGGAGATCTTACACAGACACTATGGCATCCTCCAGGAAAGGCCCTACCCACGTGTCCAGGTGGATGAGAGGGAAATACAGAACTCAGTAGGTACCTTGATAAGCCTTTTCACGTTTCTTCTTTTCCGTCTCGATGTACTGCTCCGACGCTGCTTTGATTTTCTGGACCCAGGCAGTACTGCAAAGAGCAATCCCTATGGTCAGGGTCACCCCACAGGCAGGAAAGTCTTCAGTGACTCTGCCCCAATCTCTTTTGCCATTCCTCCCTCCCTGGGTTTCAGATCACAAATCAAGTTAGTTCTTGGACTAAAGCGATGGAATTTTGGGATTTAACCTTACACAGCAATCCAAATCATTCTAAATAAATGAAAGTGGAGCTGCTGATTTATTAAAGACTGCTGGGCCACAGTAAAGACTGACCAGGACTGGGGAAGAATCCTATGGGATGCTGGACTTTGCATCCCTAAACTATTCTTCTATACAACTGTAATGTCAAGAAGCAGTAGATGTGACTGCATTCCCCTGCAAGAGCTGCTGCGTAAGCAGAACAAAATCAGAGAAAACTCATCATTCAAATGAGGGTTGAGTTTATTTCTTGACCAAGAGACTAAACCCTGGTTTTGAGCTCAGATTCCTCCATGTCTGCTCTCTGGAAACAGAGCCTGCAGCCTTCATCAACCAGTTTAGACTCAGATCTGCACTCTCACTACTCACCGCTCGTTAATGTTGTCAGTCTTAAGTGTGTAAACTCTGTCAATGTGTGATATGTGGAAAACTGGCTCATCACTTGAGGGGTCTGTGGGCAGTTTCACGAGGACTTCATTAAGGAAAACAGGCTGAAAGAAAAGCAAATGTCAGTGTGGCAGCATCACCTGACAATAGGCCAAAACTCTACCAGGATGCTTAAATCATTGGTTTACTATAGGGAAAATAAGTCACAGGACACAGGACAAACAATGAGATCACCATGCAAAGGATGTGAGAAAGGACTGAGAGAAAAACCACTCTGGTGATCCACCCCATTCTGTCTTCCCAGGTGAAGAGCTTTGTGAAAGGGGCAGGATTGTGTAAGCAGAGCTGCAATGTGGAGCTTGGAAATCTCTCAGGTTCCCTGTGTGAAAGCAGCCCTGATACTTAACCTTATCTTCCCAACTCCAGAATCTTGAGAATATGCACTGTATGGACACAAGGACTAAAGTTTTGTACCTTTTACTGTTTTCTGAAGGACAGGAGTTTTCCTGTGGATGCAGGAACTTGTGCAAACTGAAGTTAAGGCTCCTGTTTCTAAACATCCCACAGCTGCTCAGGCACGATGCTACTTCTGCCCTTTCCCCCCAAAGTGGATGGAACTGTTTGTTAAACCAAGACACAGAAGCCTATCCTTTTCCAGAGACTAAGCCAATGACATTTGTGCAAGTTGGCTGCCACAGTCCCTGCTTGTATGACAGCAAAAGGGGACAGAGACCTAATCCTAGCAGGGAGAGCAGCATTCCTCATTGCCAGCCATCACCCACTGTATCAACATGACCACACTCACCATTTTGTACATTTTGAACTGGGAATTGGATTTGGGGCTGAAGAGTTTATCAGAGCTGGATGACACAAACTGTTTAACCATGTAGGTGAGCAGGAGGAAGTCATTGAAAAGGAATCCATACAGCTCCTTACTGCTCTTGGCCTTGTACAGCTTCCCACTGTGCAGGAGCTTCCGTGGTCCCAGGCAGTTTGTGAGGGAGTTGAACACAGGTTGCTAGGAGAGACAAAACACATTAGCAGCAGCAAGTTCATGCAGACATCAGCTCCTGTTCCTCTTCACCGTGGAGATTTCTCAAGCTGCTCAAAATGCTCTTCTGATTTGTTTAATGAATTTAGTTATAAATGAAGAGAAGGAAAACTGTCTATGATCTGCCATGGTACCAGCACAACTCCCAGCTTCACCAAAACAGACACAGGTCTGACTGGATGAAGGTATTTACCACGTGGCCACTTCTCTGTTGACCAGGTGTGTCTAAGAAGAGGCTGCACAGTCACCTCTTACTGGTGCATGATTAGGTGATGGAACCAGGACAGACCTTCTGGGCCTGTCAAGCCCTGGTTCCTTGAGCAGCCAGTGGAGAACTGTCACATACCTCATTTTTAAGGCTGTCCTGTAAGGTACAGGAGCCTGAACCCCTCATATCTTTGAGGATCCAGCACTGAGGGTTTCTGTGCCCTTCCTGCGTGAAGGAAAACCCTGGGAAACACACACCAAGTGAAATCCCACATAGTAACACCTGACATCCCCGTGGCAACACAAGCAGAACTTCACTGAGAAGAGTTGTTTCTGTCCCTTTAGCAGTTTAAATGGTATCAGTTTTAAGCCAGTAAATCAAGACTTCTGATACTGCCAGAACCATGCAAAACCAAGGGTTCATCATGTTATGGCTGTGAGTAGAATTCCATAAAAGCTTCTCTGCCTAGAGCTCAGCAGTGGATCATGTTCCAGTAAGGGATATGAGCAAGAAATCCCATTCCCTCCCCAGCCTTTCTGAAACGACTTGGAAAAGCCTCTTCCATGCAGTGTATCAATGCAGCTACCTCAGCAAGGCCTTCGCACTGGACGTGGGACTGTATCCACTCCAGCCTGTCTGAGTTCTCCTTCTCGCGCACCCCCTCGTTCACCTGAGAGCACAGCTCCTCCGCTCGCTCCAGGGCCAGCCTGAGGTTACTGTGATCAGGGTGGTTTTCTGGAGTGTTCTCTAGAATCTGGTGTGGATCGAAGAGAGAAGACAAGATAAAAACAAAGGTAAGCACAGGCACCTCTCTGTGCTCTCAGGGAAAGGCTTTATTTTGCTTTTGCTGTTGAGATCGAACTCAAAGCATTCACCTACGAAACCTCTCTTGGGGTACTCACACTCTTTATGAGCAGAGGGTAGCGTGTTATCCTTTGCATAGGCTTCAGGAGGAAGCTGGAGAGGGGCATCCCTTTGCAGCGAGGGTCCAAGGCAAGTTTCTGTGGTGCAAACAGGAACAAACAGGAAAGCCAGCACTGTCATTGTACCCAGACACCCCAGACACTTTGCCAGCATAAATCATAGGCTCACTGTTCATGCAGAATCCCTACATTCAAAACTGTTCCAGCTTTTATTTTGACATTAAAGACTCCACTCAGGTTGAAAAAGAACAAAGCGATGAAAGAAACAAATGACTGATGTTAACAGTTCTGGCAATTCTCCTTTCATAGTCTCAGTAAATTAGCTAAAGACAGGGCTATAAATAAAGGTCACGCACAGTGTTAACCATGGTCACCATATAAATACACCTTGGAAGGTACTTAGGTGTTTTTGCAAGATTTTACTCTTCTGGGGTATTTTGATCTGGTCAATACTGCTTAGACAGGCTCCTTGCATTGAGGAAAGGAGAAGGCTCAAAAGTACTGAATCAGATACCTTTAAGTAGTCTTTGAAATCTGCATCTTCATCGGTTTTCTGCTGCAGCAGTGATGCTCCGTTGAGCTGACAGCTGCAGAACCGAATGTAGGCCTGCATGTGGGACAGCTCTGCTGCCAAGATGTCCCCAATCATCTGCACTGGCATCTTCTCTCCTCCTGTTTTCTTCCGCACCCGCAAGGCTCTGAAAAGGAAAAAATCACCATCCAACCTTGCTGCAAGTCTGCGAGACCTAACTCAAGATCCTTATAACATCCTGGCAGGTGAATTCCCTTACACTGCACAGGCACTTTCAGGTGGTGCAGTGTCCAGTCTGAAGCCTCAGAAAGTCACTGGCACAGTGTGCTGAGATGAGCAATCTGCCTGGTGGATTTGGGGGACTGGGACTCTCCTTTGAGGTTTCTGGGACAGTCAGCATGAATCTCGACATTCAGCCAGATCCCATTCAGTGATTATTAGTCACTTTGTCTCTCTACAGTTTCTATTTAGAGAACAGAAGGTCGCTTTGCAGAGAACTGGGAAGAAAACTTCATGCATGTACTTTTGTGTAGGCTCTGTTTCTAAGGAATTATAGCAAATGTGCATCTCTTCTTGCTGTTTATTTCCCTCTCTCTTACTACAACTTCTTTTGAGGCAGTCTGAATGCATTTAGCTGTTCTGCATGCACAGGAAATAATCAGCAAGGACAGAATATTTACTGTAAACCCAGGAAACTTCCTGGGTAAAGGAACAAAATAACAATGAAGAGTTAAATGTAAGACTGCAAGTAAGTACTCACTTCAGTAACTTTGTGTTTGACATGATGAGTTCCTTCCAGTTAACAAAGATCAGCCCCATTTCTCCTTCTGTGAGACAGCCTGAATCAGCCATTGGTTTTTGGAAAACCTGCAGCCAGAAAATGAGAAAGGTGAGCAATTGCTCAGAGACAAAAGCAGTTCAGCCTCTTGTTTAGCTTAGCAGTGACTTTGCTTTTTTTGAAAGCTCAGCATCTAATTTCTCAGAAGTTAAAAGCAATTCCTTACTAGCACTTGTGACAGCTGCCACTGTTTTCCCTAAGCATGTGGCCCCATTCTGACACCAGCATCACCATCTGCAGAGCAGGGACAAGCAGTGGGACCTGCAGGCTGACTGAAGAGCAGAAGAGTATTCCCATGATTTTGGAGTCAGTCGCTACACAGATTACACTTAGGCACTGCCTCTCCCCCTACCCAGAGCACTTACAGTCAACCAGTGTGCAGAGCCACAGCTGCTCTCAGGGGCCCTCAGCACCACACCTGGAGAGCACAGCACCCACATAACTCAGTCTATCTAACATCTGCCACACTTCACCACACAGCTGTTGTATATGGAGAGGTCAGGTTGGACATCCAAGACCAGGTAATGCTGGGCAGCCCCTGCCCTGCCTAGAGAGGTGGGCTTGCTTCCAGAAGTAAAAACTGGAGAGAAGGCAGATAATAAACTTTTATGGTGCTTCTACAGCTTTTGTCATTAGCCTGTGCAGCTCTGATTGACAACCAGCCCATCATCCTGTCACTGAGCCCAAACACCTAATAACAGGATTTGGAAAACAGGAATGTCCTCGTAAGCTGATGGATTTCACAATGTGGTGGTTTTGCCTGGTGGGCAACCAGGTAACATTTGCTGGAAAGGGAGATGCCCACGCACCTTTATTCCTCCAGCATCTCACAATTCCTTGTGCAGCTCTGATTGACAACCAGCCCATCATCCTGTCACTGAGCCCAAACACCTAATAACAGGATTTGGAAAACAGGAATGTCCTCGTAAGCTGATGGATTTCACAATGTGGTGGTTTTGCCTGGTGGGCAACCAGGTAACATTTGCTGGAAAGGGAGATGCCCACGCACCTTTATTCCTCCAGCATCTCACAATTCCTTCCCTTTTTTTTTCAGGACAGAGGTGTTCTTTTCCCAAATGGATTTTCACATCCAAGACACCTCACCTCTATGACGAGCTGCAGATCGTCCATGTACCTTTCTTCCGTCTGAATGAGCTCATGAATGTAGCCCTGCCTTTTCCTTTCCATTGGCTGCATGGTGTCAAGGCTCTGGAGATCAGCACACCCTACAAGAGGTAAGCCAGGGGTTTAGATCCCACTCAAGGCATCAAATCCAATGAGTTAACAAAATTGCACCAGCATATAGCAGCCTACGGCTCAGACAGGGGCAAGCCCTGTTCACAGCAGGAGCTGCAGATCAAGTGATGGAGTGACTGATCCCCTCCCTCCTTTGTGTCATTTCTCACTCTGCCACCTCTTAATTTCTTCAAACACCCCTTGTTCTTGTACTGACTTCCTGCCACTCCGTTTGTCTCATGACTTATCTCTTCTGCCACACTGATTTGAAACTGTAATTTTCTCTTACCTTATTGCAATGTCTTTCTGGACTTGGTGATCTTAAAGGTCTTTTCCAACCTTAATGATTCTAAGTTACCTTCTGTGAGATGAAGTCATCTAAAATGTGTCTGGCCCTGACTTATGACATTGCACCTTTCATTCCCACCCCTTTTCTCAAGCCCTCTGCCTTGGTTATTAATTTATGATACAAACCACCATTACAAACGTGTAAAGTCATAACACATAAGGTTATAGTTGCATAACTTCACAATTGCACAACTTTTTTTTTTTTTTCTCAAAATGAACCTGAAATATGTTGAATTATCTTTATGCATCAAGTATGAATAAGCAAAATCATGCATAGGATCACACCAGCAGTCAGTGACACAAACTCCAGGTTTCTGTGAGAACACACAGACCCTACAGCTTCACACAGCTCTTTCTCTACTGTACGTTAGTAACATGACAACAATGTTCAAAATTTAGTGACTGAACCAAAAACTGGTAAAAAACTAAGTGAATGTGTTTAGTTGGGTAAAGGAGAGCACAGAAGTCAGTGTGGGTCTGTCAGCCATCACATGGCAGAGGAGGGCAGAGCAGTGGGGTGGGGGAAAAGGGGAAAAGAGGAACAATTACAGAGTGTTTGAGAACGTCCATCTATCGCTGGCTCTGAGGGCATCGGATTGCAACCCCGGCTGGACTGTGGATTTTGCAGGATAGCAGAAAGGACATCACAGGGACCCATTTAGATCCAGAATTTCTAGAGGAATGAAACTTTATGAAAGTTCGCAGGTGTCACGAAAGGCAGCGAGTGTGACCGGCAGCAGGAAGGGCTGCACCTCCCTTGTCACCCTGACACACCAGGATGTGACTTTAGTCACTGCCAATGTACAGATCTGTTTATGGCAAGGCTGCTCTAAGTATTGAAATAGAGTGAGTAATACATTTGAGGGGAGAAAACAAGAAACACTAAATATTTGGCTAAACTTGATGTGACAGTGGCCTAATGGGAACCTCTCAGGCTCATGCACTTCCAGCTGCAGTGACATCAACCTGCTCTGAAGGAGCAGCAACTGTCAGCAAAAGAGAAACTCTTGCCAAGTGAAGGTTTATGACTCCATCCCAAATATTTTAACAGGAAAACCCTTTGAACAACACAAAGAAGTAAAACAGCAAATGCAATAGCTAGATTGAACACTGGGACTTTTCAGTTCTGTTTTGCACTCCTGAGGAGGATCACAGATCTTAAGCTTTCTGACAAGTTATGAAAATTGCCAATTTTTACAAAGAGATGTGAGATTGCAGCTCATCAGCAGAATGCTGCTTCTGGCCTCAGTTATCCCCAAAGTTACAATCAGGTCAAAATTAAATGTGAAAAATGAGTAAAGTACTGACAAAGTGATTCCTGTGAAGTTTGGCATCTCAGTGCATGAAGACAGTCTGTGGTCAGTGTGTGCTACTTATGGATTCCAGTGCCACTCTTCAGTCTGTGCAGGACTGAGTTTAAGCCCACCTGGTTCCTAAGACATGAACTTTAAGGACAATCTAGGGCTTTCACAGTAACACCAAGTGTTATTATTTGTCCAAAATTGGAAGTCTCAGCTTTGACCATGTGGTTCCCTTTCCTACTGCAAGGTGAAC